GTATTACTACAAACTGTATTTTTCTTCCTCAGAGATTTTGTGGTGTTTAAGCTTTTGTTCTGTGCTGATAGTTTTGTTCAGTGGATGTGTGGTTTTCTGAGGGAGGGTTTCCTGGCTGATTTTTCTCCTGTGTTATCATCTCTGAGGCCACATAGTTTGGAAGCAGGAAACTTCATCACAGGCCCAGTGTTGGCAGGGATGGAAGTGCTATGAAACTGTTTGACTTGGTCTTCAGTTTTCAGTGAATTGTATATTGTTCTGCTGAAATTAGGTTTCTTTGCTAAAAGACAAAAGCATAACAAATTGCTGTTTTTAGCTTATTGTCTATTCAGAGAGCCAAGGATGCTGGCATTTACTTGATTCTGGCAACAACAGGGCATTTCTCACTTTTTCCATTGTTGTTCACACCACCAGGTAAAATGTTCTTCTATTATTTCTTTTTTATCTAGTTTGCAACACAGAGCTCAGTAGTCTTGATCTGGTTGTCATTTTTGCTTTAGTGACTTCTCAGTTGTTTGTGATTTCTTTAGAAAATCTTATTTGTAGTGCTATCTCAAATAATAACTATAGTTGATATGTTCAGTATGTTTATAGATAATTGAAGTAAGTGTATTGCAAATGCTTGGCATTTGCTTTAGTAAATGTTTATGCTTATTCTTAGGTATCCTAAGCAGTAAAACATGTAGGTATGGAGAAAATAAAGCCAGATAATGCCAGTGTGACTAGTAAGATTTAAAGATACTACAATATATATGGCAAAAGCTTTTTATAATTAGTTTTTAAAGTACATAATGTTCTTTGTTTTTCAGAACTTCCAATTAAAATATTGCTTATGCTGTTGTTTACTGTCTATAGCTTCTCTTCATTGAAATCTCTATTCAGGTAATTAAAGAAATTTGATCTCAATGCCTGGAACAACATTATTTCTTCTGGTGTTGGGAACAGCCATTATCCTAAGGCACAAACAGCACAGAAAACTGATGCTGAAGAGTCAAATTAAGGTGTTACTAGCCAAAATATGCCTCTCTTCTCAGGAGGCAATGCTTAAATTAGGATTATGGCAGCACGTCCTGGTTATTGTGGCAGCTTCCCAGTTAGTCCCAGGAGGCTGTAGATCCCCACCTGCCTCATGCTCTGTTAAAGCATGGAGCTGTGATGCTGTAATCTCTGAGGATTTAATTAGGTATTCTAGCATTTACTATAGGGATTTTTCTGCAGATTCTTTATTTCATTGTACTGTGGATTTTTGCAGTAGTAGTTAGTATTTAATGTGAGGAAGGGACAGGTTGTAAATAACGTTCATTTGCAAGCTGTAATTTGTCAACAAAACTGCAAGTGTTTGGTTGGCAGAACATACAATTGCCGAAGTCATCCTGCGTAGTTTCACAACCTGTGGATCTCTTACCATTTGACCAAAGATAGTGTTTATCCTTATAACCCCTGCAGTCCCCACTTCCCTATTTCCCAAACTTTTCAGGGCAAACCCAAGCTGCAATGAAGGATTTGTAATGAAGTACTGTAAATGTGTATTCAGTGCTTCAGGCACCTGCTTTTTGTAGGTGATTTTCTTTATTTAAGAATTCAGTCATTCTGTCTCAAGTGCTCTAGCTGAAAATCTCCATAGGAGCTTAGTTTTTAAGAGAGGGAGCTTTTGCAAGTTTCTTAACTTGATAAAACATGAAATTCCCTTTAAACTACCTGCAGTAAATTCCTGCTATCAATGTCTCTTGCAAGAAAGGTCAGCTCACAGAAAAGTCCATCCTACAGAAAGCTTGGGGGAAGAGGTTAAAAAAATCTGACATTTCCAGTCTTTGGCTGTAGACCAGCTTTGGTGGAACAAGTCATTGTATGAAAGGCTGTTCAGTTGTTCACTGAAATAGAGTGAGGTGAAGCAGAGCAATTGATGAGGTTTTTCCTTAGGCTTCCAGGGCATCCTGGAACTTGATAAGGACATTGAGCTGTACTCTTGGTTATCACACTGTGGTTTTCTTGTACTGAAACTCTTTAACTTGTTATTTAAACTGTTATTGCGATCTAATGGGAGATTCTCTTTGCACTGGGATAGCTGAAAAACAGAATAGTTAGTTAATATATATTTTAACACTACCTCTTTTTTAATTTCTCTGACAGGAGAGAGAAACCTCTACTTAACTGGATTGAAACAATCTACCTCATCCAACTAGTGCCCTTGGAAATCTTCTGTGAAATCATATTTCCCCTGACCCCCTGGAAACGGCATTTCCCTTTTGTGCCCCTGTTGCTGACCTCTGTGTACTGTGCTCTGGGAATCACATATGCTTGGCTGAAACTCTACATCTCTGTCTTGACTGAGAGAACTTCTGTCAGACAAAAGGCTGAGTAAAGCCACAGTGCTGGGACCAGTCCCAGGATACCCCTTGGAGGGGATTCCTGCCGTGGTGAGGGGTTGTCACAAGGCCATCCATGATGAGACACAGTGTACATGTGCCATCTCCACACGGGAGCTCTTTTTCCAACACTCCTGTACCACTGATACCTCTGGATCAGGATACCTCTGATCAGAAGCACTGTCACAGTGACAGGGAGGGCTGCAGGGTAAGCTGTGAAGCTTAACAAGGTGCAGACTTCTGTCCTGAGGGAAACCTGCCTGATTTTCCCATTATGGTTCATATTTGAATAAAAGTTGCTGTGGCAAAGTACAAGGGATGATTGCTATGCAGGAGAGCATTGTAACTGTGTTCTATGGAATTTGTAAATTAAAAACTTGGTATTGTTTGAGCATTTTTTTGCATTCTTTCAACTCCTGTCTAAACCCTGCTTTTGAGGGATGCCCACACATCTAAGGATGTAGTGTATAGCTGGAAACTTGTCCTGAGGTGCTTTGTCAAACTCTTGCACACACAAATAGCAAATTTTAATGTTCATGTCCTTTTGATCTCCTTGTCTCATAGATACTTTGCATTTAGGTTTCAATACTCTTCTAGTGGCTTTTTTTTTGTAGACAGATGACCAAATTGAGGCATGCTACTCAAGAAGTATTTTACACTGCTAAACGTATCAAATAATGTGACTGCATAGCTGTATTTGTAATTCATGTAAAATCCTACAACTCTAACAAAAGACCAGGTGTCCATAGTTCCTGTAATGATTTAAGGAAAAGGTAGATTGTTTTCTGCCTCTGTGGAATCATGTTCCCCAAAGGGGGATAGCAGTTATTTCTGCAGTAAATAATTACACTTTTTAAACCATACATAACCATCCCTAGAAGGTACTGCTTTGAGGTTGGGGTCTGGTTTGGATTCTAGTGCTGACATAAAACTGGGAGGAGAGAGGGATGGACATTTTTATTATTTTTCACACTAGTTTTTGAACTTTCTTCCGTGTTAGCTGAAGAATGGGACCCCTTCATCAAGGATAGCCAAAGGGATAGTTATGCTTTTGAGTTCTTTGAATATTTGGAGCGTTTAAAATAGAGTGGCTCTTGTTAGAGCAACAGGTTGTTTAATCACGGTGGATGTTTCTGTAACCGAACACTTTGTACATTTAAAATTATCACTGCCAATGAGTTCATATTCAAGACATTCTCACTCTGGTTTTCATTACTTTCTCATAGTTTCTGCTTTTTTTTACACCATCAGGGGCTTTGCCATGTTGTTTTTAGCTGCTCTGGCTTCCAGTGCTGCCGCAATGCTTCTTGCCCCTGTATTTGTATCTCGGCTCCAAGCCTTAAAGCTCTGCTCAGGGTGAGGCACCCACAGTGCTTGTGTTTATCTGTCTACTGTGCTGTCCTGTGTAGGGAAATGGTAGTACACAAAAAAACTCTACAAACACCTCTCTTGGCTCTTCCCCAGCTGTGCCTTTGCACATGGTGAAATCCTCCAAGAAGAGGCTGCAATGTGGGTATGCCATTCCTGGAAGTGTTCAAAGCTGGGGGGGATAGAGCAGCCTGGTCTAGTGGAAGTTCTCCCTGCCTGTTGCACATGTTGGAAGTAGATGACCATTTAGGTCCCTTCCAACCCAAACCATTCAGTGATTCTGTGAAGTTAAACCCAGGGCATGACTGGAAGTGGTTCTGCCTCACCATTGTATGATCCCAGGTTCAAGTAAAGCATCTCCCATTGCGAAGCAGCAGCTGCCCAACCTCCTGTGTGGATGTCAGGAAAATCCACAAACACCGAAGGTTTATGTCTGAAAAGGAGACAGAGGAATCCTTCAGCTTTACTTGAATAAAGGGAGAGAGTCCTCTGAGGCACACAGGGTTTTCTTTCTCTCGGTCTTGGAAGTCACAGCCTCCTCTTATCCTAAACTCCCAGCCTCATGTTGCCCTCTTCCCATTGCTGAGGCACTGGCAAGGTACAGCATTCCCGAACTGCCTGCCACATATTCCCCCCTTGAAGCTACTGTTTTATCCCAAAGCTCTGAAGTTCAGGCTGTGCAGACCCTTGGCTGTTTCAGGAGCCAGGCTGTCAGGGCTCTGCCACAAACCTGCTGCCCAGAGTCAGTAGAGACATGAAGAGCCATTTCGAAGACACCCATACCTTCACCCATCAAATTGTTTGTAAAGGCATTAGCTTTCCCCTCATGGACAAGGACTAAATAATACATTATTAAGAAAGTCTGAGAAGCCTTTAGGACCTGTGATGTGTTTTGTTAACGTGGGTTTCTTCCATCACTCCTGCTAAAGTGGCAAATGATTTATTTAAAGTAATTTCGTATTAATTAAAAACGAAAAAACTAACACTATGTGTTAGGTCTCAGTCTTTAATCTGAGCTCTGAAAATTAACTGGGTTCGATTCTAGTGCTTAATTAACCCCTTAATTTACTTCCCGACCAGCTTCGCTGGCCTTGCTGCGAGGCCGCCTCAGCCAGCGGGGCTGCAGCTCAGTTAGCGCTGCAGGAACCCCCTCCGCGACCCGGCTAAGGCCGCTCAGCATGGGAGTTTGAGGCGAGGGATGGGTTTGTGGGGTAAGGAGTTGGAATTCGGGGTAGGATTTTTGGTAGAACAGGCATAAGCGGAGAAGGCAGCGGAACGCGGGAGCAGGGCGCGGGCCGCCGGGGGAAGGCGCAGCCGCCGCACCGCTCCCCCCGGTCACCTTCGGCGGGCGGCAGCCATGGCGTTCCTGCCCGACGAGTCGCGTTCGCTGCCGCCGCCGCCGCTCCTCAACAAGGGCTCAGTGTGGCTCGGGTTCGCGGGGTGGCTGGCAGCGCTGCTGGACAACGCCTTTAACCAGCGCCCCGTCTTGCGAGCAGGTGCGGGGGGACGGGGGAGCCTGAAGGGAGGGGGAACGGAGCGGGGTGCGAGGGGAGGGCTGACATGAGGAGCTGGGGAAGGGGCTGCGGGAGGTTTGCGGTCATTGAGGGATAAATGAAGGGAGAGAAGGGGAAACAGCTGGGAATGAGGGGCTAGAGGGGACATGAGGGCAGGCGGGCGGATTTGGGGTGACCTTGAAGGTTCCAGGGGCTAGGGATGGGGAGGAAGCCCCGAGATCCGAGGCTAGGGGTGGTGAAGGAAATATGTGGGCCTGGGAAAGGGGATGTGGGATTGGGGTCACTCTGAAGGACAAATAAAGGGGAAACAGCCAGGAGTGAGGGCCTGGAGGAGGTTTTGGGGCTGCAGGAGCGGGTATATGGGATTTGGCGTGACCGTGAGGGATACAGGGGCTGGGGAACGGGAGGGAGCGCTGAGGTAAAGGAATGGGGAGATAGAGGGAGTGTGTAGGCCTGGGAAAGGGCGTGTGGGGCTTGGGTCACTGAGGGATAAATGAAGCGGGGAGGGGAAAAGAGGAGCCCTGAGAGGGGAAGGATTGTGATTGTGTATGATTGTGGGGATGGGAGTTAAAGGAGTGATGTGATCCGGGAGCCCTGAAGTGAGGGATTTGTTGGCACGGGAGGACTGGAGGTAATTGGAAGAGGCTGGGAAAGGGACATCGTTTGGAGATGGGGAGGATCTGAGGTGGCTTCCTGAGGGGTATGGGTGGCGGGATGGGGAAGGAGCCCTGAGGAAAGAGGGGCCTGGCGGGGGCCGCGGGAGGTATGGGTGCTGTAGGGACCTTGGCAGGGGGAAGCAGGGAGAGACGATTGTCTGGGGGGCTGGGCAAAGTGGGGCTCTGCCTGAGCCCCCGGGTCGCTGGGAGAGGTGGGGACAATTCCTCTCCTTGTTGCAGGCGTTCACCGGCAGGTCCTGTTTGCTACCCTGGGCTGCTTTGTTGGCTACCAGCTTGTGAAACGCGCCGAGTACGTGCATGCCAAGGTGGACAGAGAGATGTTTGAGTACATCAGGCACCACCCGGTGGACTTCCACTCTGCAACAGGTACACTCAGCTGGTATTTTAAGAGAGACCTCAGCCTGCCATAATCTCTGTGTAAAGATGTTGCTGGGCTAAGGCTTCCTTGCTCCTTCATAATTTGACTTGCAGAAGTCTAAAGGATTTTCTGGTGTGAAAATAGATACTGTTTTTGAGCTATTGATATGCATCGATGACTGCCTCTTCCTCCTAAAGGCTCATTTTAGTATAAAAATAGCAGAGCCAAAAAAAAAAAAAAAAAAAGAAAGGATAGATCAAACTTGTACCACTGAAGAAGAAATAGTGGAAATTAGAAATCACAGGTTTTATTCTGGTAGCTTCACAATTGTCCTGTCTATTCCTGTAAAATGCCTATTGCATGTAGATTCAGAAATCCCATGATGAATATTCAGAAAAGAAGCAGAACAGGTGAAAAAGGAGTAAATACAAATGGCAGGAAACCTGAAGTGGTGTTGGTTTACAGCAATGGTAAAGACCAAGGGTTTTTTTACTAAATGGAGTCACTGAGCCAAACGCAATGGCAAATTTGGGTGAAAATTGTTAATTTTCTAATACAACAAAACATTTTCTAATACAACAAACTTGACTCTGGCTGTTGGTCTGCATCATGCCATGTTGAAAGGAGTATGTAGAAATAAAAAAACTGTTACTGCTGAGATTCCTCCACAGGGACCTTTGGAGAGCCATATGGGGAAAAAAAAAAGGTTGTGCATTTAGTTAAAAGAGCAAGCTGATGGTTTGCTGTGGGTAGCAAAGACCAGATTTTCGGTGGCTTTGTTAACATCGAAGATTTAATGTGAAACATCTTCTGAATCGATCTCAAATGCTAATTGGGTTTTCCCACCTCTTGCAGAAAAGAAAAGAATAGGGCAGCTCCTGGAGGATTTCCAGCCGATTCGTTGAGGATTTCTCCAGTGGCAACACATCACAGGATGAATTCCTGTCATCCTGAGAACTTCAGCAAGGTGGCTGCAACTGTTGAACCGTCCATGGCTTAAAAGATGAAACTTTACTCACTTTGATGTAATAAAAGCTTGGTTAAATAGTTAGTGTTTAATTATTTACTCTTCTGTTGCTTTATGGTTTGTCACTACGTGGATGATTGATACTTGTAATAGATTAATACCTTTGATTAATGTTTTTTTCAGTTATTTTAATTGCAAGAGTGGAAGGTTGTACATACAACATATGTTGTATAAAACCCAGAGAGCAGTTACATAGGTTCATCATTTTTATTTCTCATTGGCATTTCTCCTGACCCTTGAACATGTTCATGGCCAGTCCCTGTAGATGCTGTACCCCAAGTCTCACTGTGAAATTCATTCTGAACAGTAAACAAAATACATGATCTCCCTAATTCCATCTCTGTTTTTTATTATTATGTTGCTTTTTCTTTGCTGAAAATAAGGATCCAACTTTCTCCTTTCCCAGTTGGTTTCTGGCTCATGAATCCAAACAGTGACCACATTTGGGGATAAGGAGGTTCTGTTGATTTGGGATTTGGGGATTCTTATTAATTTAGAATTTTGGGTCAAAATTGGGCTTTATCTCTTTTCTTCCTCACACTGAATCCTGTGCCAGGTCAATGCTCTCTGATGGATTTGCTGTCTGAACAGATTTAAAAGAAGAGCTGCCACCCTGATTTGCTTCAACAATATATAAGGAGAAGATCTTTCCCGATGGTGGCCGGTAACAGTGTGGGTGCCTCGGGAGCCTGTCCAAGGCAGCACAGAGGCAGCACCCCCTGCCATGCCACAGAAGCCTGATCTGTCCTGTCTGCCAACAACCCACTGGGAGCAGTGCAGAAACCTCTTATCAGCAGTGGCCAGCAGCAGTGGCCAGCGGCATGGCACCATCAGGACTTGACGCATCCCTGGGACAGCGTGATGCAATGCCCTGCACTCGGAGCAGGCAGAAGGATCCTATAACACAGAGGGCCTGGAGCCAGCTGGAGGGACAGCGGCTCTCAGAGAGAAACCCAGGGGCCCTGGGGGAATGCAAGCGGCCCACAACACATCAGCAAGACCTTCCAACTGAGCACAGGCCATGGCTGGTCAATGGCCATAACTCCTTATCTTGCAGTGTGTGCCAATTGGAGGAAATGGCTCTATTTTGGGAAAGGCTGCGGGGACCTTCCCCCCTTTTGCAAGCCCAGTGCTGGCAGCTCTCCTGCTGTCCCCTCATAGCCCAGCCAGGTGTCCATTCTGGCACCTGCCCTCTTCCCCTCAGACCTGAACCCACTGCTCCTCTGCTCCCTTTGTGGGTGCTCCTGGCATCCCTGGTGTCCTGCAGTGGGACCCAGTGCTGCACTGAGGTGTGCACACACTGGCAGACCCATGTTCTAAGGATTTTTGGAGCAACCATGGAGTGTCCTGAAGATGCAGGGGCATCACAGTGTCCCTCCTGGGGAGGCCTCAGGGGAGAACACATCTGCCCTGGAGCTGGAGCTTCACTGTGGATGTCATGGTGTGACCCTCCCATGGCAACTCAGAGAGACACCCACGGGCCCTGGGGGAATGCAAGCGGCCCACAACACATCAGCAAGCCCTTCCAGCTGTCCCAGGTCACAGCCCTCGGGGACATCCTGCGTCTCCCGTGGGTCATGTTCAGCAGATGTAGTCAGTGCTTCCCCCCGTGTCCTGCTGTGACAATTCCCTGGGCCACCACGAGCCTCTGCAGCTGCTGAGCACTGCCCAAGCCCAAAGCCATGGCTGCAGGTGTCCCTCGCTGTGACACCAGCGGGGTTTGACCCCAGCCAGGCACCGAGGCCCACACAGCCACTCACTCACTGCCCCACCAGCAGGACCAGAGAAAGAAACAAGGGCAAGAACAAGAAATCACGTGGGCTGAAACAAAACAAATTGAATAGGGAAAGCAAAAACCAAGCATGCAAAGAGAGCAAAACAAGGAATTCATTCCCCACTTCCCATGGGCAGGTGCGTGTTCAGCAATCCCCAGGACTGCGGGGCTCCATCACAGGTAACAGTGACCTGGGAATTCAAAGGCCATCACTCCAAAAGTCTCCTACTCCTTCCTTATTCCTCCCACTAAACATACTGAGCATGATGTCATACGGTCCAGAATATCCCTTGGGTCAGCTGGGATCAACTATGCCACCAGTGACTCCTCCCAAGCCCCCATGCACCCCAGTCCCCTCGCCAGCGTGGCAGTGCAGAAAGCAGCAGAGGCCTTGGCTCTCTGCAAGCCCTGCTCAGCAACAACCCAAACATCTGTGCATTATCA